AAAAGAAAACATCTAATGAAAATTTCAATTATCTACGGTCAATTGTTTTTTAACTAAAACAAAATATCGAAAATCGATTGAGGAGAAAGTTATTTTACAGTTGTCATAAAAATTTAAACTTCAAACTCTAATAAAAAAAATTAACACGAATATCCGATAATCTTTTTTTTGATTATAGGTAGAAAAAATTATAAAAAATATTGTTAAATCTTAAATATAAAAATAAAAATATTTATAAATATCTAACTACAAAATAATTCATAAATTTTTAGAATTTTATAAAATTTTGTCAAAATTCTAACTTTAGACGCATATGAAAAATTATAAAAATGTAATAGTGTTTTTAAAATACGTTAAAGTTTCAAATTCCCACAAAAGTATTTTGAAAGTACCTACAACAATATAATGAAAATCATTATACTTCAATTAATTATTGAATTTCGTACAAATTCATACTTAAAATATCTTATATCAAATCTTTTAAAATACCATAAAAATATTATTATGTAAAGGAAATTTCCGTATAAACTTTGGTAAAAACTAAAAATTTCTACGGTTATTTTGTTTTGAGTTACACTCTAAGCAACAAAATTGATTCTATTGAATTAAATTCAAATAAATTATTTCACGTAAAAATTCCTGTTTTTTCGTAAATGTATTTATCAATTTTTTTTTTATTTCGACCCTCTCATTAACTAAATCCAATTTTCCATCAGAAACCGCCTTCAAAATTGAGAATAAAAGCATTTTTACTGCTCCAAAAGTAATGACAGACATAAAAATTAAAAACACACATCATTGTAAAACCAATATATTCATCACTTTGCTCAGAAGCTAAAAATTAAATAAATGTTATCTATATTGCTTTATCATAACTTTATTTCTATTAACTATAATATTTTTACCTGTGTACTAAACTAAATTATAGATGGCTACACATCAGTCAGACAAATGAAATTTCGTCATGTGCAGGTAGATATACGAGTTTATTCTATGTATAAATAAATAATTTAATTAACAACTTACATCAATCACCATAACACTTAACTAAGTAAATTCAAATAAATTATTTTTTTATCATATTTTATTTATATTTAATATTTTATTATTAATACATTGAGTCTTTTTCTTTTTTTTAATGTATTTTTCTTGTTTTTAAGAACATAAAATCCTAGTCTTAATTTAACTATAAATTATCGAGAACTCAATAGTTATTTTTCATATTACTGAAATCTTTATAACAAATATTAACCGTCATATTATGATAAGTACCTATAACAACGACACGTTTTCAAGATATTTAAGATACCTGTATCGCGGCAGCGCAGCGTAACCTTGTATTACGATTTTGAATCTTGATTAATGAATAATCAAATTGATATATAATTACCTATTTATAATTAATTATCAAAAACGTTTCGTGAATATTATCGTATCACGCGCGAATAGAGTTTTTGACATTTTCCACATGGATAGAACTTCAGAATGATTACACGTCTCGCGTTCGATTTTTGCGACTTAGAAATCACACCCTATTTTCAAAATTTCACCAAAAACTATTAGGATGGACTGGTAGTTTACTAGGTACATGCACATCGTAATGTACACCCGAAGACAAAAAAATTTCAAACGAAAATCATTATAATCTATATTGTATACATTGTATACAAATTTTATTATTTGGTAATAAAAATTTTACTAAATAATTTACAGTAAAAAAGGGGTGTTCCCATGCATAATACAAAAGCTTGTACCACACAGGAAACTCTTTAAGAAGTTTAAAAAATTCCAAAAACTTAAATATGGAATTCAATAATACGTTTAAAAATTCTATAAATTAGAATTTCGACAAATTTATTATTAATGAAAAAATTAAGGTGAATATGTTTGGTGATTATACATTGGTTGTTACATTACTTTCAAAACAATGTTTCTTGAATTTTCCTAAGTGATATAAATACTTTTAATTAGTTATGTCTCCGATTTAAAGAGTTTCCACACTAGTCGCTTCCCTCCTCGCATTATTCACGCTATTATATTTTGCTATCAAGTTCACTTGTCATGTATAAATATTACTGGTATTAAATATTCTTTTGTTTAGATAAAACTATTTATCAGGAAAAAAAATTATAATAACTATATAGATATAGGGTGCTCAGACTTTCAATATATAGGTATTTTACATGATAATTCATTGGACAATAGTTTTAAAAAATAAAATAATAATATTAATTCCTATAAATTCAGTTTGATTACATATCTATTGCAGTAATATTGTCGTGGCCCTTATAAAACGTTGTGTTGATTAAACACACGCAGTTACTGAAGAACAACAAAAAATATTAAAAAACTGAAACATCGTGTCTTAGTGACATGTGTATCGTTGTTATAATATACTATTATACTGTACCTAGTACTTGATGTGCTGTGCTCGGACATATTAACTGTATATAAGTACAGTGTAAGGCGTATTATCGGCAGTTTTGAAATTACAAAAATACACGTTTCATCAGAGTGCCGCAGAGTTATAGATTTTATAACGGTACCTATAGAATACACAGAAACTTGTTCCATTATCTGGTCATATATTATTATCCTCTGTTTAATTAATAATCATATACACTGCACAAGTGTATAATTTAATAATATGTGAATTATTTTAGGTATCATAATACAAACAATACATTTTGTATAAAATAAGCGGTAGTTATGTTATTATTATTATTATTATTGCTGTTTTACGAAATACACATTATTGTTGAACTGTACAAATTTATACATTTAGGAGTCTAGAACAATTATGTCGAAAACATTTCATAAAAAAGATTATTCATCAAAAACAATTTGTTAATAAGACTTGTGTTAAAATATTTTTCATGAATTATAAAAAAAAGTAAGCAAGTGGATACCACAAATATCAATGTAGAATTTTAAAACAAACCAAAAATAAGTGTTTTTTGAGCAATAGGTAATTGTATATTCTATAAAAATAGAATTGACCAATACACCTGTTTACGAATTTGTAAAAAAATTTTGAAATGATTACAATTGTAATATTATATGGTGATATTCTTTACTAGCCTTGTAAGTCTTTCAAATTCTTCTTCTCCTCCCATTCCTAAAAAAACCTCCATATTGACGCGCAAAACGCATCATCGATCGTCGTAGTTCACATTGAAATATTCGTCTTTCACTCGTTTATATCAATCGCTGTTATAATTGTGTATATATTTTGTATACCGCAAATTGAGGTTATTATACTTGTTATATAAATGTAATAACTAATAACTATATCATTATATTAAAATTAATAGGATATTGTATGAAAAACACACCGTCTACTTACCCAGTCACATTGCCCTTACATTATTATTATGTAGGTACTAGTGATAAGTCAAATACATTATTATAATTTCCGAATGCAATAATAAATCGATTAACCAGTTTGAATTATTTTAATTATTTTTTTTCTTTGCTTATAGTTTTTATCTAAAATAAATATGCGACTTTCTAACAAAACCTATGCAATATTTTAGACACATACTTTTTAAAACCTATAAATCATTTTAGTAACTAAAAATTAACAATATAAGTGTAATTACTAATTATAAATATTTATGAATGCAAGTCGATTATTTTACACATTTTTAATGTGTAATCCCCACTTATTTAAATGTTATTAAATCCCCTAACAAATACTGCTGTGAATAAAATGCATTTATTAAATGTACAATATTTATTACTATTCTTTTATCTTGTATTATTATTATTATTATTACAATGATTATTCTATACCGACTGCCATTCATACATTATACAAATCGAAATACCTAGAACTAATTTAATCGTGTTCAATGAAATATAATTCCTTTTTATCAATATTTGAATAACGTATGCCCTACTATTTACCAAATTTAAAACAACACATATTGAGATATTGTATGAAAATAAATATTAAATACGAAGAACTCCTTTAAGAGTTTGTCAAATCGATTTGATACAAGAAAAAAAGAATGTCTCGTTTAATTGATTTAAAAATAAATAAATAATAAATTCATAAATAAACTATACCAATGTTTTATATAATATGTAATGTAAAAAATTTTCATTTTACTGAATTAATTGTAATAAATAATAATATTATAATTCATATAACTGAAATGTAATACCAATAAAAAAGTGAATCTCCTTCAACAAAACTGTTTGGATTTAATACTGCAGATTACATGCATTAATATTGGTGTAATAATGTCTTTCTTTAACCTTCTATAATATGCAATAAGGTAACGTAAGACATAATGGATAGTTATACAATATATCAACTAATAAAAAAATATTCATTAAAATGAGTTTTCAACATATTATCATCCAAAGAAATTTAGTACTTTTTGAAATATCAAAAAATTAAATATAAATATACAGAGTGATTAATTTAATGTAAGACAATCACTAAACATTATTTTAGAAAACACCAACATTTTAGAAAATTTTCTTTTAAATAAAGTTTTAAGTCATTATAAAATAAAATTTATTACAATCATTTTTTAAGTTTTGTACTCTTTTGAATAACAACATACGTTTTTAATTTCATATTCTAAAACAGAATTTTATTCCAACTATCAAAACAATTTTTGGACAATTAATTCATTAATTAAAAGTATTTTAAGTTTAAATGGGCATAGTATTGGAACCAACATTATGAGGAGTGTCTTCTTGTATCACTGTACTTCATACTCGTGAAAACTTTAAGTACTTTAAAAACTCATTAACTATAATCATCCAAAATTCGATTTGAATTTATTGAAACGCTCAAAAATATTCTGCTCTAGAATAAAGAACTGAAAATGTATGTCATAATTAAAATAAATTAAAAATATTAAAAATAATAACAATAAAAATTGTAAAAACTTTACATTTATTTATTACAATGTAAAAAAATTAATATTTTTAAAAACATTAATAAATAATAAAATTTAAAATAATGAGCGTCCTACGGTAAATTAATCACTTGGTAAACGCCGTAAGCTCTCGAAATTTCTCACTGCTTGGTAAAAAAAATATCATGAAATGTGTATAGTATACGTACTTGTGCAGTTGTCAACTCTACACAATAACCAACATAATAATACCAAACAGTCCATATTACAATCACTCACAAATTACTAGTCAATTTTAAAACGATGATTATTATTATTGTCATTATTATTATTACTATCAATTATCATTCAATTCGTTTCCTCGGCTCTTTCGTTGATGTTTGTCGTCCGTTTGCATTCACGTTGATGAATGATAATAATAATAATAATAATAATGTAGTGTGCCATCCTAAACGGCTGGTTTTGTTTGTATGTGTTGCTGTATTTGTACAGCGCATTGTTCCACGTTCTTCGTTCTTCGCTTAACATTTTACATCCATTATTTCCTGAAAAATTCAAGTATGTAAGTATGAAAATAATCAATTCCATATAAACATGTTCAATATTGTACACACAAACGTTTTGTCGAAAATGTTCGAATTGACAGTCAGATTATAGTTTCGACCGAAAACAGATGTACAAAACAAATATCTATAAATTCTACACTCGAATGGGTTCCGTTTAATTCATTGGTTTTTTTTATAAACGAGGAGCTGAAAAGGTAATGTCACTGTCACACGTCAGTAAGTTGTAGGTATACTCAACTGTCTTCCATTTAAGGTCGTTTACTATTTACTTATAATATATTAAAAGAGAATTGCGTGTAAATAAATGTATTCTAACGAGACATATGAGATAAAAAAAAAAATAATAAACATAAAATACGCGTTAAATGGTATTATTAGCAACAATTTGAACCATAATTTATACCTACTAACTGTGTATAAATTTTTTATCACTACTGATAAAGTTTGAAATACGTTAAATTTTTAAAATATCAATAAAAATAAATTCTTATTAATAATTTTGAAGAAAAGTTAAATCCGTTTGGGGCACTTCAAGCCTTCCCCACAAATATGCCAATCAATTATTATTTATACCCCGAAAAGAATAACTATTTTAATTTTAACCATTTAAGATATTTTGTAAAACAAATATATTATAGATACTGCAGGTATATAGTACATACCCAATTCCTACTTTTTACTTCAAACCTTCGGAGAGTATAAGAAAATTTTAATTTCTAACCGATATGCAATGTTATAACATAGTAATATGATAAAAATAAGAACATAATATTATCATTATAAATTAATAATTAGCATGTGATTAACTGGGTAATTTTGTAAAAAAACAAAATTATATTTAAAAAACTAACCAAATTATAATACCTTTCATTATTTTTGACAATGGACTAATAAGTAAGACACACAAGTACGTATAATAAATATAATTTTATAGAATTCTGAGACTATTAAAAACAAGCTCTTAAAAATCAATTTATGTCAGCATAATATTATATATTGCTATTAATATTTTTAATGTTAAATATTATTTAGTTTATGATCTAGCATTTTCCATTTCACTTCAGTTGAATATATCATACAAACACAATATTATATTGATTAATTTCATGATTTTTAATTTCTAATTTTAAATATATTTTTTTACGTAAATACAAAACATTAGAAATTGTTTCAACGAATATTTAAAACTCGACTTGAACCAAAACTGTATTTACATACCACTCAAAAGTAACTAAGAGGTTGAAAAATAAACCACGACAACCCCCTGAATCTCGAGAAATCTTTTGATATAACTTTTGTTGAAAATTATCAGGTAGTATATGAGTATAAACTATAAAGAGAACAAATTAAGGAACGATGTTTATTTAATAATTACTTAATAAATATATTTATTTTGGATTTATAATTAATGTATCTGTAAGTACCTACGTTATAATTATAAGCATCATAAACTCGTCACCAAATTCTAGTTCGGCTAGTTTTATTTTATTATATTTTTTTAAATTAAATTTTACAATAAACACAAATTATATTTGTAAGATTAATTAAAAATAAATTAGTTGTATTACTTTGAAAATAAATATACCTCCATTAAATATATTTTTCGAAAAAAATTAAAAATGTTGTTTCATTTGTTTTTAAATTTATATGATTAAAAAAAAAATTATACATAAATATATATTTATTAACTAATATTTTATATATACCATGAATAATATGATTTTATTAAATAATATCAACTGAATATTTTAACTTATTTACTACTATTCGATTTCAAATATGCATAATGTTTTCCTGTTCAATTAAATGTTGAATGTCAATGAAAAATTATTTCAGTTTTATTCATGTAAAACAAGTGGACGCGTCCGTAAATACAATATTATGCTCAAGTATCTAATGCGTATTTTATACATATTGCAATACATAAATGATTCTTAATGAATAAATAGAAGATGTTTCAGATTCTGTAAATATTTACTGTTTCCAACATACTTGAATAATACATAATTATTACTCAGAAATCACTATTTTATGTGGTAAAAACAATTATTGATAGATAAGGGCATAATACGATAGATAATCTTTTCGTAGAAATGGGTACCACCCATATTCCAACGACATCGTTCCTTAAGCGTACGTTTTTACTAAAATAAAAATAATATAGTTTTTTTTTTTTTTCAGTCAAATCAATTTTTTTCCAAAATCATCGTTTGAAATTTAAGAACAGTTAATAATATTAATTCTAATTTTAATTTAGTTTCTACTGTTTTATGAAAATTATCCTGAAAATTATGTATCCGAAAATAGAATATGTCCGACTACAGTATGGTTCAATTTCAGTGATAGTTCATGCAGAACAACAAATATTAATAGTTAAAACACATTTTAACGAACAGTATAGAATTGTTTGTAGAAAACCGTATCCTATTACCTTTTAATATATTTTTTAAATTTTAATTTTAAGTGTTCAAACTAATGTAAAAAAATATAAATTATAGCATTATCCTTAAAATTAAGCATATATTTAAAAACTAAAAAGAAAAAATATTCCGTCAACTGCAATAATTAATTATAAGCTATAACGTATGTAATTTTTGTAAACATTATACCTATGTAAAAAATATGATAATAAATTATGATTATATAATATATATTTACGCATAAGACAAAATTAAATCAATGGATAAAAACAAGTAAAATAATTTTTAGAGGTCATCAAAAACCACCTTTTCGTGATATTCTATGGATGATTCTAAATGATTCTCAAAATATAAATCGAAAAAAACGAGTTATCGCAAAAACTAATAACTCTCCCCATCCATCCGGCGATAATGACGCAAAATGAAATCGAAAATCCACAGAATATTAGCTCATAAAATCATGAATATAGTTTGTTTATCACAACATTACAGCTATAGACGATAATTATCCTAAACACAGAATTGTGTCATAGAATTTGTTTTAATCAGGTTCCACAAGAAGTGTCCGTTAGAGATTTTCGAGTTACACAAATTATGTCCAAGTGAAAAAAAGTTAAGTTTACACAAGTTATGTACCGATAAATTCAAATCTATACATTTGCCTATACCAATATATTATATTACTATCATTCGTACATTTAAAAAAATATGTTGTTTCACCATATTTACTATTATAAATTTTATTAAAAGAAAAAAAAATCAAATGGAGTTATTTAAAAATTCAACTTTTTTTAAAACACAACTGCTCTACTTGTGTACCCTTAATTTTTCATCAAGAAAGAACTCTTTTATTATTGGAACACAACTCGTAAACTGTGAGGATTCGATGTCCTGTGTCCTTTAAGTCACTGAGACCACAGATCATCAAACTTTCAAAAACTGCACGCGGGATCTGAATGATGACCGGCATTTCTGAAACGTTATTTGATTATTTTCTATGAATTATTTCGGATGGTTTAACATGTGAATTTTTCTGATTGTCTATTTACTTAGGTTTTGGATGACGATTACTTAATGTTAGCCTATTTAATAATTTTAAAAACAACAGTTTATTACTTGAATAATATTATGATGTCCACAACTGTACGTTCTAATATCGTTCTGATTATATCATTTATATTTTGTATGACTTTCATGTTTTTTTCGCAACACATCAAACGTTGTTTATCGTTTTTTAATGATTTCTGAAAACAAAGTTTATAACTATTTATACAAATTAATGTTTTATTTTTTCCACTACTCATTGCATCGCTCATAATTCATTTAACTCGTATTTCATTTGAAACACAACAATGCACGTCGACAATTAAAACACATAACTATAAAATGTGTACAATTAAGTATTTGATAAGTTTCATAGTCAATAGAAGATATAATCATAATATAGTTAACATATTAATTATAGATTGATGAAAGTGTAATCATGTCTTTTTCATCTCTTTCCCTCCACATGATTATGCGCTTCAACTGTTAAGCTTTACAGATCATCATCGTCTAGCCCAGTGATTCCCAACGTGGGCGCTATCGCCCCCTTATAGGCATTTTTTATTTTGAAAGGGGCGTTTTTATTAGGGGGACGCTAAAGGGGGCGCTCATCTATCATTTAAATGTTTTTTGTTTATAACTGATTGTAATGAAATGTATAACTGCGTAGAAAAAAATACCTAATATAATCCACAGAATTATATAGGTATAATATTTATAGACACTTAAATAATATCAAAATTATTATCTTATCGGTTATATCGTATAGATTCCAATTAGCGGCTAATCAATAGCCGATTCCGAAATGTTATACATACTGTGTAGTCGTTTTAAAAATGATTGGGAGGGGGGTGAGATTTTTAAAATCTAAAAGGGGCGTTGAGTAAAAAAAGGTTGGGAAACACTGGTCTAGCCTATAATCTTTTCTGGCCAAGTTATGACTGCCGTTGGTTACAGAAATAAAATTTAAAAAAAAATTATTTAGACTACCTGGCTCACTAATATAATTTGTTTCAGGATTTTTATTTTATTTCATTTTTTAATGAAAGAAAATCATTTTTAATTTATTGTTTTTTATTTAAATGTCTAGCAAAAAGCAATACCCTTATGTCTGTAACCTATATTAGATTCAAAAATTAATCGACCAATTCTGTCAAAAATTTCAGAGATTGTCCTTAGAGATAAAAGCAAGTTTAAAAATTAGTTTGAACAACGTTAAAAAATAAATACTGACTGGCTCAAACTTTTTTCTTTTTGTCCCTCAAGACACTTTTTTTTCGTAGAAATAATTCTCCAATAACCAACTTTGATTCAGAACTTAAATTGTTATTTTTTCAACAGTTAATAAATTTACAGCCGTATATACATATTAAATACAATAACAATATTATCAATTATAACAATCAGTACTTCTGAACATTAAAATGAACAGTGCTGAAATCCTTAATCCCACCAACAAAAAAAAAACCTCACCAAGTTAACTAAACAATATTATTTTAATAATAATATCAATATTTTAACAACTATTCGATTTTTTTTATTTGAAAAAGTACTAATAATTTTTGATGTTACCTTCCAAAAGTACCTACTAATTTTCTAAAAGATTGTAAGATTACTGATCAAAGAATATTCAATTTTTTACAAAAAAAATATTTTTAGACACAAAAATAAAAAATTCACATTGTAAAATCAAAACATTCATAGCTTCATAAAGAATGAAAAAATTTACAATTATCACATAAATAATTTATTACTTACTACTGATATAATATGTATATAAAATAGAGAACAATGGAATATCAAATTTCTAAAAATTCAGTGATAACTCATTTCCAAATTGTAAAACTATTATTATTATTTCTTGTATTATTCAACAATCAACTGTACTGATGTATATTAAATTCGTCGTAAACTACAAATATTAGCTCAGGAAAAGTCATTAATATATAATCTGCAAAAAAACAGTGTAGATTTTATTTTATTTCTTAACAAACCCTATACGAGTATACGATAATATACCTACTATAGTACGTATTGAGAGTAATAATAATATTATTGATTAATTTTAAATGTAGATATACATTTAAAAAATTTTACGAATTACAAATGTATTAAATATTAATTTAAAATCCCTCATAGGTAAAAATCATGTTTACAATTTACACCATTGATTGAAGTATAAATTTCCAATGGTTTCCTATACGTTGTGCCGAAACTATCATAAACCAAACTAACAAGATCGCCTCAACCACTTTTAAAGCACAATGGCAAATATACATAGTAAACGAAAAAAGTAAAGTCAGAGATTTAATGAGCAACAGCTGCGAATTCAAAAACTACAATTGCGAATCAAAATCGTTCGTACAATGTTGGCTAAGTATAATTTATTGAAAACCTGTTTATAATGACCTTGACAGAGTTTATTTTTTTCATAATATTATATTATCTACATAATAATAAGTGATTTATTTTTCCCCGACAAGAAAATTTAATGATATAACTAAATACAACTACATGGGCTGAAACTAAACTTTGATATTTACGTTTTTTCAAATAACCGGAACCAAACTCGGAACCCAAACATTTAGATTACAAAAAATATTGAGTTAAACAATAATTATTAATTTCGTGATAATTTTTTCCTTATATAGAAGTGCTTTAATATTAACCAATATTATTTTTGTTTGGGATAGTTTATTTCTCGTAAAATCTTAAAATTTAAATACTTATTTATATTTCATTTTGATATATGTACATTATATATTGTTGTATACATTAAATAAAAATAGAACAAATGTTAGAAAAAAAATTGAATTAATAACTTTTTAAGACTAAGAAAGTATTTACAGTTTAATTTTTCAACCTCTATACGTTGCTTAAGAGTGGTTCACATTCGAATTTAATTTTGGCTCACGAAGGTTAACTATATTTTTTTTAAATAGAACCGATATTCTGATATTGAAACTACGTCAATACTTATAAGCGTCCCATGTATCTATCTACAGCTTTTTATGTTACACATGCGGCATAAATTCAAAACGCCAAATATATATTTTACTATAATCTATTCCTCTTCTAAAGATAACCAAAAAATTGTTTAAGATATTATTTTTAACAGAACGACTTATTAATATCGATACGCTAAAAAAATATTATAATTTTCAAATTTCTAAACAAATAAATATAGATTGATACAAAGAATGTTTCAAAACCTACAGATTTATTGAAATTATAAGTTAATTAATTTCATTACACTTAATACCTTTACTTAGTTTTTTATGATATGTTAATTGTTCATTCATTTTTTTATTTAATAAAAAATCTAGCATTTATTATTAACTCATTTTCTGTTAAAATTAAATGCTAACTAGCTCCTACGGATTTCTTAATCGTTTGGTAACCATAAAAGGTATATTTCCATGCCAGCAAATTGCGTTCCAAACACCGCTCGATACATTATTTTGATCTAATATTACCATTGGAACAACTTCAAAAATATTTGGAACATCGTGACGAAACAACTCTTATTCAAGACAGAGTCCAATAAAATGTGTTTAAAAGTTTCTATCTGATAAAGTAAAAACGACATTTCCTTACTTATTTTAACAAACACACATATGCGAACATTATTTTGAACATAAGATGGAAACGATCCTGTCTACTACATTTATAATTTTGGAAGTCCTCATTCAACGAACAATATAGATTTTTATAATCTCTCACATTTTTCAGAGAACACACTTCAAGATATCTTTGGAGTGTTAATTTATCTAAATAAATTTCATTTAATTAATTTAAATATACATGTTTTATTAAAAGTATAAATATATGCACCTTATTTTCTATAAATCGTAATAATTTGATATTGTACATAAACTAAACCAGTATACAATATAACACTCGATTTAGTTCAAATTAAAGTGACTCGTAAATTCGTGATGGGTTCTTAAACATAATAATATTAGTGTAATAGTATAGATCTTATCTATATATTGTGTATGTTATTCTAGTAATCCAAGGAGATCATAAAAATGTAATATATTACATATTTATAATCAATAAATATTTAAAATTCATAGTGATATTATCCCAAATTACATTTAATTATATTTTATATACTGACTTTAATCAGTTTCGTGTACCTCCGATTATTTTACTGGTAATATTGAAGTTGTCCAATTCTAAGTTTGAAAAAAACAAACAGATAGTTTCTATTTTTTCAATACTTAAATACAAAAATCGTTTTCATGCTAATAACATTTGTTTTAATTTAATTTTTATAGTTTCGGTCTGAAATTGAAAACAAAATGTATTAAAAATGGTGTAATAACTAAATTACTCCAAAAAACTAGTTAGTCCATAATTTTAAATTTATCTTTACTTATAACCATTTATTATCACCTGCAAAAATAAATTATATTTATATATTTTGTAATTTCTAACGAAATTTAAACAAATTTTTATTTCACTTTTATAATTTATTAAAAATTAAATGGAAATGTCCTTTGTCGCAGCAAGCACTTAATATATACACAAATAAAATATATATATATCGTGTTGAGTGTTGACATATATATGTACATATATAGGTGTATAAAAAATTTTGTACTGATAATAATAAGTACACACTTACGATTGAAATTCGAAACAATAGTTTTTTATTTTAATGAATAATTTAATTTGTCTTATAATCCGAAAGCTTCAAAGTTAAAAATAAATTTTTAGTAGGTAAGTAAAATATAACCATCTATCTATTCTAACTTCACAATCGTTCAAATCTAAATTCTTAAATCATAATTATAACACGACTAAGTCATTTCAATTATAGTTTTAAGTTAACAATCTAAATAAATAATTACAATCAGTTCTGTTAAAAGAATGCATGTATAGTTAAAAAACAATCGTTCTTGTTCGATTTGTATTTTTCATTTTGAAGTTAATTTAAATGGGTACATTAAAATATATTATTCAGTTCAAAAGTAAGTATATACCTTATGATATCATAAATAAATGGAGTTCACTAATACAATTATGACAGCGAGCATAGGTTCCATTTGCTGGTGCGGCAATCAGATTTCAAAATGTTTTCTAAAGTATAAAAATTCAAAATTATCATATTATTATATTGTCTTACTCAAAAACGTGTGGTACAATGTTTCTGTAATAATTTACAAAACAAACATGATAATAAAATTGAATT